CAATAATTTTGAGATAATAACGGGTAGGTTTTTTCACCAACGGAATTTTCAATAAAATAGAAAAAAATATAGGGGTTCCGTTACGAAAACCGTTTTTAATCAATATTCATTTTCACAACTTCTGGCAGTTCATTTGTCTAATAGACAACCACGTAGTAGCATGTATGACAATATGTTTACCAAAAGCGTATCTTATAAGGTCAGAATCAGCTTTATCCTCATCTTTAACTAGTATGTCGAAAGAGGTTACACAGTTTCAATCCCATCAGATCCAATCAGACACATCAATTCAGAAGCTCAAGATTCAACCAAAGAAAACTTGTCGAGAGTGAACAAACATCAATATGAGCCAACTTCACTAACAAACTTCAAGAAGCTCAAGTTGTTTCAGTCAATCAGACTTCAAATCAGACACCAAACCGTACCGCAACAGTTCAATTCAAAAAACTTACACTCTACAGAACCAGAGAGGGTCTCTCATTCTCAATCAACAGAAGCAAGATATAAGAAGACTCATGCAGGCTTATCAAACAATTGTCCTTAACAGACAACAATGATATGAATAATATTTCAAAAGTATATATAAGAACAGTCGAAACATTTGAAAACAAAGTTCAAAACCCGACAGTAATGGTACTTTTTCTTTGAATTTGCCTTATGTTTCAACTATGATAATCTCTTCAGCAAACTTGACGAGTTCATTATTTTGCTGTGAACCCAAACTTTAAGAGAACAAGTATATGAAACACTCACGACTTTCTGTCCTTATCTCTTTAACTTACCAATTGAAAAGAAGATTGAAAACAAACGCGGTTCTTTCCCTGGAATCTTTCCATTGTGCTTCCAGTGGTAGTAGCTGCACACATACGCAATATATCCAAAATGCATTTACGAAAACATAGCATGTATTATAGACACGCCGCTTTAGATATCCTGAACGGATCCAGAGTAGGAAAGAAGTTTCAAATAATATTGTTCAAGCAAACCGAGTTCAATGCCACTGTACAGTATGCAAATTCACTCACGTCAAAGCAGACAAATTCTTATCAACTGTGGAGTTCGTTTTTTACTGCACGAGCAAAATGTATCTCTGAAAGAAACAGAACAAACAAAAATAAACCATCGAGAAGAGGGTCAAGTGCTGATTTGTCACTTTTCACAAATCTAATGGGGAAAAATTATTATCATAGGTTGATCTCATTGCTGAGTGGAGAAATGTATGTAGTGTAATGGATATAACAGTGGGATTGCTATGGCTCTAAGTCCTATGTTCGAATACATTGGCTTATATGTTTTCTCTGTTTTTTATTGACGTAAACTATCAATTTTGTGTTTATCACATTCAAATTTCAGAATATTTATTAATGAAACAAGTAATTCACGCTAACCATTCGATCACTCTCTTTTAACCCCATCGCCTAAGAAAGCGACCACGTTTCACGACTCTTGACCTATCCGACAGTTGTTTATTAGAGTTTGCCACTTTTGTCACGCTAGCTCAATAACATTATCTTATCTGGTTATTGTGAAGATGAAGACAATTCGGACGAAGAAGAAAGAGGATGAGGAAACAAAGCGAAGACTAGGATACGATATCCAGTTCATTTTCCATCCGTAAAAAACATTAAAGCAAAGCATTTTCAGAATAAAATTTTAATTTTTAATCTAAACAAAAATTTTTTTGGCCTAGAGGGCACGAAGTGCCTGGAACCCCACTACCTTTTTTTTTTTTTTTTTTTTTTGTCACATACGATTACAACTGATTGTTTGTTCCGCAATAAATGTCAGCGTTGCCAAAAAGGTGATCCAACGGATGAGTGATATAAATGCGCTAAAAATATCAAAGCCCAACCAATTTAGAAATTCTCATTCATGATATTGCATGCAATTATGCTATTAGATATCTGAAACGTCGTCGTCCAGCTTTGTTCTTGGATATGAGTGTGTCAACAAGTAAGTAGTCACAAGAACAACATTTCAACGCGCTTGTGACAATTAACAGAGGCCAAAAGCATCCAATCCCCATATGTTAATGAACATTTGACATTTCATACATCCATATCAACTCGAAATTCATCATGCACAGAGGCCACTGACTCTCCTTTCTTGCAGCATATATCAATGCAATTAGTCTTCCTCAACCAGATAAGCAATCATCGCATGCGTTCAAATCCTTGGCAACTGGCCAGTACGAAAGCATATACCACAGATTCAACCTTTGAAAATTTCTCTATGGTACAAATCTCTCATGCACAACGTTATTTAGAAACCTTTCCATCTAGACATTACATCGGTCTCACGATTTTAAATAAGCTTAAGATATATGTCACAAAGTCATGTCAATCTAATTAAGCCAGCATACAAGTTTATGTTACGAAGATAGTTTCAGGAGAGGCTTTCAGGAATCAACATGACGATCTTTTGAAGGATCGTTGTTCAATGAGTAATTCTCTCAGATTATTATTGATTATACATTTGTTTTTTTCTCTACGCATTGTTTTTCTTTTAATTTTCGACTAAATACTATTTTTATTTTAAAAATATTGATCGGAATAATCTGATTTGACGGCTCTGAACTTTGATATCAAAAATTGTTGACAAAGTTTATCAGTAGTAAAAAATCTGATATAAAATATATACAATAATGTTTATAGATTAAACTTTCCGCGTTGGTAGGCTTACGTTTGGGGTCATTAAGTACATATGAAGGTACATAAGGGATAACAATGATTTTCTAAGTGTAATATTTCAAGCAAATCCGTTTTGGTCTATTGAGTAAAGCAGCAATTATTTCCATATCTTCATCAGTCAAAAAAATTTGTTCGGTAACTTCGAATCCGTTAAAAAATTTCGTCGTAATGCGTGTAGTAAGTTACAGAAATAAATGTTGGTTTATCTTTGGATCGAAATTGAAGAAGTTAGGGCCCAATTACAATTGCAATGTTACTAGCGTTCATTTTGTTCTTGGCATTGTTTGCTTTAGGTCAACAAGGAACTTCCGATGAATGCGAGTGTATAAATACGAGCTTTTGGTAATTGTGAGAGAACTTATCTCTCTCAATCCGGAAGTACTTTGCGTTACTTGATTTCGTAGAAAGCTGCTCTTAAAGTAATTATTAAATGTTGCAGGAAAAATGGAGTTTTTCAACTTTATCTCGGAAATATTTTTTCAAACAATTCGCTAAAGTATGACTTACTGTATTTTGACCAATCAGCAATCATTACCTTTATCTAATTTGCAAATTATTTCGTTTATATCAGCTTGTGAACCATTTAATCTGAAATAAAACCGACTTCATTGATCGCATTAAGTCTCTCTTAAGCGGTAGACAAGATCGGTGACAATAAATGGAATCTTGCACCGAAACTGTTCTGGAAGCCTTGTAAAGAAACATGGGATTTATTCCTTTCATAAAAATTTGTCACTTTTCATTTTTATTCTTCGAGTAATTGTGATAAAACTCCGAATATCCATGAAAACCAATTCTGCATTCATACTCCAGGTACCTTTGTATTGTTGAAAACCGAAACAAGTCATCCGACATGTTATATTTTCGCTAACGAAATAAATTTTGATGTTTGTATTAGTGATAAGTTATTTAAAAGTGGATATATCATTTCCTCTGGAATGTATTTTGCTATTTTTATCGTAAATTTGATTGAAACATTATAATCCATATTCAAATATCAATATATTTTTGTATTCTATTTAAATTATGTCTTTACCTTTTGAAAACAGTGAATTAACTTACACGTCAGTAATTCGACTGAGTATCACTCAACTAGTTCAATTGAATATGATTATCTTTGATATTATCATACAGATGATATTCTCTTCAAATCAATAAAATTACATGGGTGAGCATATAATTTATCTGTTATTACAATATAATGAAAAAAAAAACCAATTTTTAGATATCCTTTCAGTCATCCCTTATGATATGATACATTTCTGGTAATCAATTCTTATTTCAGCTTTCTGTAGGAAAAATTAAAAAAATTTAAAATATAATTCCATCAATAATAGCTTTTGGTGAATGTTCCTGTAGGAAATTGTTCCCGGATACAATTTAATTCATTCTTTTTGGAAAAATTTCAAGATCCTCTGGCAAAATTTTCCTTGCATATTTTGTAAACTTCTGAAATCGAAATTATGACAGTCAAAACAAATGACTGAGCGCCAGCAATTGATTAACAGATTTAGTCCATCTGGTAAAAACAAGTTATCTCTATTAGATACTATCTTCACCTCCTTAGGAATGAAAAAAGACCCTCCTTCTAACAGATGTTGAAATCTCAATTAGAAGTGTACGCCCAAGAAACAAAACTGCTCAGAAATTACTTTTGTATGAATTCTTGCAATACAACCCAACCTCTAAGATTATTATCGGAGGAACTCTCCTGAAAAACAAAGAACCTAAAGGAGCTTTCGGCATCGGAAAGGGCGGCAGTGAAGATCAAAAGAGTAACCACAGCACAAAGGCCTCTACCGATATGTCAACTTCCATTATAAAAATGCTCTTGTAAACTATCAAAAAGCAATCAAAGAATCCAAAAAAGATAAATTCTACATGCAGAGGATGGAAGCCAACTACATGCTTGAAAACTATAATGTGCTTATGCTCTTGCCTGTAAAACAGGAAATCCCACACTCAAATTCTTGATGGCAGTTACATCTGGACATTTCCAAGAAGCCAATGCAGTAATTCCTAATTTGAACTTGATGGAACCACAAGGGATCTGAAACTAGAGATTTTGTCAACAAATTCTGCTTAGTTCAGTTGATTATGTACGTAAAAGCTTGCAACATCACCATCCACTGATGTTATTGAAATGTTTGAACAGCTTAACCACATCGATCCTCAACTTCAAACTTCCTCACATCTCTAATATTGTCGATGCCTTCAAAGCACATTTGATTACGGCAAAGCCATGCAATACATCAACATGCTCGAACCTAATTTATACGATTCCCTTTACGCTGCTCTGTTTCCAAGGAAATGAATCGACGCAATGATCGGAAGAAATATTATCAACTTCATTTTGCCATGCTCCCGCATTTCCTTATTCACAATCTCTGTGCAGTCATCCACAAATATCGCTACAGTTGCGCTCACGTAATAAACGCAATCCGCGAAGGAGAATTGACAGAAAGATCGATCCTGAAACAAACGAATACATCCACTTCGACTCCAGATACATGAAGTGAAGTTGTCAAACTCTATAACGATCTTACAGTTATTGAAAACAACGTCGATAGAGCATTGTTTCATGTTCAATGCTAAGAAAGTTGTCACAGAACCATAAATTTTCGACTAAAATTGATTGAATAAACACAATTATTATTTAATTTACTTTGTTATTTTTCAATTTTTTTAAATTTCAACATTTTTCTAATTATATCATTTGAATATTGTAACATTTAAGGTGGTCGTTCTGGTTGATAAACCCAAAATCGGAAAAGCCAGTGGGAAAAAATAATCTTGTAAAAAAAATCGGGCCTCCGGCCATGAACATCACAAAGTTAATGTCGCCATTTATGAAATATGCCCTATATTATTTTTCCTTTCTTTCCTTTCCTCCTTTTTCCTCCTTTATTTCTCCTTCTCTTTCTGTTTTCTTTATTCATTGATTTCCTTCTGTATTTCGAAATTTTATTCAAATAATTTAATAACTTTATAAACCAATTAGTTTAATAAATTTATACATTATCTACCAATTTTACACTTCAATATTACAGTTTTTTAAAGTGGATCAAATTACATTTTATTAAGATATTAAAGTTTTGGAATCAGTATTATTTTGAAAAAGCACCTAAGTTATTTAATTAAAATGGTATTATTCAAATATTGAAATTTAAAATAATTTTATTTGCTCAATTTTTTAAATCTGTAAGTACATTTTGTTTGAAGTAACAAAAAAATGATATATGCAGTAGCAAAGTAAATTTACTAATAATAAAATAGTTGCTCTAATTCAATTAATTTAAACCTTTGGTAATGATAGAACATGCATAATATTTAAAATATGGATGAAATTCTTTGTATAAAGGTAAGTTGATGAAGTTTTTTTCGAATCTGGGTTTAAAATATCTTGAAGGTGAACAATTTGATCTTAAGTGTTTATGCTGTATACCAAGAATTACATTAGATTCATTGTTGACTATTTGTTCAAATCTTTCCCATTCAATCACAGGATACTGAATCTGATGGAAAATCATATTACTGTGAAATTCGCATTGATATCATATGATGATCCATTGCCCTAGAAGTTCGGTGTACCCAAGTATATGAGGAACACGTATGTTTTTCCCCAGATTTTGGATGAGGTATGGTGAAAATTGAGAACTTTTGTAAAGAAATTGAGAGAGATTTTGTAAAAAAATTGAGAGGAAAATCTGGTGAAAGAATCACAGATGTGGTGATACCAGAAGGTATGGGAATTGGATGAATACAGGATAGTATGCTCCTATATGAATAGTAGAAACATAATCCATTATCAAATCATCTGGAAACAACTTTTTCTTCTCCAAAAATATTTTGAAAATGAAAAAATGAAAAAAATTTATTACCATAAAACCAGATTTATTACCTCGGGGAACGTTTCCCAGCACTTTTCCACCAGAATCGGCCACCTTATAACATTTGATGTTTTCTACTCGAAAAACCTTCATTTTGTTTTTCCAAATAAATTGTAAATTTCTATTTTGATGTCAAAAATTATTGAATTTTAATTCAAAAATACAATTTCCCAAATTATTTTGAAAATTGGCTCAGGATTGATATCAATAAAATTCAATTATTTTAAATTTTGTATCATATTAACATCAAATTTTCGAAAAATATCGAAAGCATCTTAAAACGTTTTTATAATTTCTAATGAATAAACTGTTTTAACTTTGTAAACACAATATAGACTAGATGCAATTTCATTGATATTTTATATGTATCAATTTCTTTCATATTCTTTAAGAAACATTATATTTATACATTTATGATTAGTTTTAACCATGTTATTACAACAATACAACAGTAGGGTTAACAAATGGATATAAAATTAAAGGAATAAATTATCATATTGCATGTAAGGAATCCATATCTTCACAATTCAGATTTCTTTATTCAAAGTCTATCCTAATTAACAATAGTAGATTTAATGTACCTCAATTTGACCTGGTCCAGAACTGCTCAATCCTGAAAAAAACGAGCAAAAATTTTTGAAAGTATGGAGGAGAAGAAGACAATGACATTGTTAGCATATCAAATAAACTGTTCGATAAGTACTGCGAAGGTGAGTTCATTTCAAAGAGAATGCGCTAGAGGCAACAACTAAACTAAATTCAAGAAACTTGATTTCGGAATCCCTCCTGATTGTACAATAGATGATCTTAAATTCATGGTTGAAACGAGCTTCCTGATGCTGCAATAACACGAGATGGTTTTGAGACATTTTTCAAGAAAGCCTACGAAATAGTATATAATCAACTTTATCCTTCTGTGAAGAAGAGGAACAGTTCGAAATGAGTCGAGAATTCTATACAGGATAGACTTTCTGATCTCCGTGGAGGCGATGATGAAGAAAATGAATTTAATTTTCAATTTATTTCTTTGGTCATTACTAATGCAGACATCACAGGGGCGAAAAACATTACAGAATTCAAATATCTTCAGAATGTAGAGCTCAAAACCAACTCAATTGCAGATTCTTACTCCTTTTACACAACTTCCAAATCTAAAAAATACTAAATCTCTCAGAGAACAAGATTACAACACTTTCAGGATGTAATTCCCAACAGTAGAGACCCTCAATCTATCACATAACCAGCTCTCTTTCGTTGAATAAATTTGAGGCTCCAAAATTAAAAGAACTTGATCTATCAAACAACCGCATATTCTTCCTTCAGAAGGTGCATTTACACATTTTCCTAATCTAATTCATTTGTTTTTATCAGCAAATGGATTGAAAAACGTAAAAGAAGGTTGCATGACCGGTTTAAAGAGTTTACAGCAATATAAGCTTGACCAAAATGCATTGACTACATTAGATAATGTTATTCTCCCAGATATGACCGAAGTTAACGATATCGACATCGGAGATAACCAAATTACAGACTTTTCAAAGCTAAGTGTACTACCGAAACTTGAAGTTCTGGATGTGCATGGAAATCCAATAGAAAACGTTCAGCCATTTAGAAATCTTGGCAATTTAGAAAATCTTAAATATCTTTACATTTATCAGACCCCATTCTCAGAAAACCTAACGCTCGAACCGAAATTTTACAATATTTGACTCATGTCGAAGAAATTGACGAAAACACCAATAACAAGAAGACGATGTAGGTGAAGAAGATCAACAAGATGTCCAAGAAGATGAAGAAGAACAAGATGTTGACCATACAGGAAAAACTAGATATAGAGAAGAATATAATGAGATAATGAAGAAGCTGAGAATGGAGAGGATAACTGATATCGATATTAATAAATTATTTGTTGTTATTATTTTACTATTTAGTTCATTTATATGAAATTTTATTTCGTTTTTTTTCTTTAACTTCTCTAATATGCTACATGCTATTTATTTTTCAACTAATTCTAATCTTTATACAGATCTAGTATAACAACTTAGATTAGTATAAAATTATATTTGAACAGGAATTATTTGTTACGTTAGAGTGTTCAAATGTACCAATGTGACATAAATTTTGGTTGTTACATATTGAATCCGTATAATTTCACATTTATTATAAACAACTTTCAATTGTTTTATAATGTGGTACCTTTGAACGACTTTTTCTCTGGCAGTGAACATAGCGACCAGCAAAAGATGCCATACCGTATAACAGATATTTTTATAAGAATTTTATACAGTAATGAAGAATTTAAATACATCAATGTATATATATGTTTTGTGAGAACATTCAATTTCGGTGTACTCTCAATCGCTCGATCAGGATCAGCCCATTATCCTCCAGGAATGGCGGTTTGACACCAGCAAAATATATTTTGAGAAGATAAAAGTTTCAAATTTGAGTGAACAATGAAGATTTTTTTCAAACTTAAGAGATTTACTATTGACACATCAATATAAATAATTGATAAACCATTGAGAATTTTATTGAATTGAGTGAGATTTTTTGAGAGGGGAAAAAACATTTCTCAATTTATTGAGAGATCACTTGAATCATCATAAAATCATTTTAGAAGATGTCTGCTCAAGAAACATGCCAGTGCAACAAGCAATCCTCAGAGAACTGCCACTGTGATGGTGAGTTCAAGTGTCATCAGAAGGAATGCAAATGCAACGAAGGCTGCATGTGTGGAAACGATTGCCACTGCACAAAAGACAACAAATGCTCACCAGATTGCCATTGTGGAGAAGGCTGCCATTGCAACGAAGGCTGCAAGTGTGGAAACGATTGCCACTGCACAAAAGACAACAAATGCTCACCAGATTGCCATTGTGATCATTAAATTTCTGAATAAAAAAATATATATTTGAAAACAATTCATATTTTTCATTTAACACGATCATGAGATAAACCCAGTTTATTTTTATGGTTTAAAACATAATGATTATTTTCATATATATTAATTCTTCTTGTTTTAGATACTCCTATAGATTTTCTGGTAGGGAGAATTACATAGACATTAAATAATCTTTACATGACAGGCTAAAGTTTTATATTTTATGTTTATTCAGCTTTTTCCTTTCTTTTGTTAAGGAATTCTCTAAGTTTTTCACCAGCTGGTGTTTTAACAAGAATTGCTGGTGCGACAAGAGCAAGAACAAGAAGAACAGAGAAGAGAACAAAGAAGTTGATGAACTTGTTCACAAATGAAAGGAGAATGCACATTAAAATGAAAGCGATTGTATCTACTGGGTTTGGACATACAAATGTAGCATAAACGAAGAATCCGAAACGCCAAATCATAAGTGCTGGCTTCCAAACAAGGGCAATGATTTCTTCAAGTGTCCAAAGACGATCAAGAGCACCTTCAGCTGATTGTGGGATCTCAGCAATGTATAATTTCTTTACTTTGAGATGTGCATCAAAGCAATAGAATAATTCTAAGATTGGAATTGCAATAATTGCAACAACAAGATTTGGAATGGATGATCTAATAAGTAAACCAAAGATTGTATCAAACCAATAACTGTAACCATAATTGCTACAAAGAATTTGATGTTTGAGCAATAAAGCTGCTTGAAATTGATCAATGAACTCTTTGTATGGTGTAATTGCTTTGACAAACCGACTCTGGATCTCCTCTGGAGTGCAGCCAGCCATTGGCTGAAGATTGTTTTCGATGAGTGTATTTCTCTCTATTAAGGGTGCCCCGGGAGGATCATGTAAACTTCAGAATTTAGAACCTTAATTTTTAAGCAATAACTTGTACCTAAATAGGTAGGAAAACTCTAAAAATATCAAAAAATACAACTTGGCTCCATAATAATCCTGTCATGGTGGCTGTTTGTATCCCCTAGTATTTTCCTCTTGAATCTCTTTTCTTGTCGAAATTAAATTCAAATCTCAGAAGTAGAAGTGAATAATCGACTTATTACTGCTATTATACGAATAAATAATTCATTATATTATTTTTATTACATAATATCTGTTTGAGGTCCATAATTCTAATAAATTTTTCTTCAAAAACATTACAATCTTGATAGTTTTGATACTGTTTAATAGGTTTTTGGCACATTATTTAGTATTTACTACGTATAGAGTCGATCTGAACTTAATTTTCGGAAATTTAAAATATTTATTATAAGTAAAATCTGATTTGAAATTTATGTTTAACTACTCATATCTTGATTATCCTGAGTAGCTTTTGTAAAAATTCATCAAAAAAGATTTTAACGTGCTTTAATTTTTATTTTTTTAAATAATGCATATTATTATATAACTAGCATATTTACAAATTTTAGTGCTTTCAAAAATTTAATCCTCCTCCTCTCAAATAAACGTACATCCGGGTGGCCTGTTTTTTGCAAAAAATAAAATTTCATTTTTTATGCTTAAAAAGTCAGAATTTTTATTGCTTCTGGGATATATGATGGCTATATCAGATGCCCATTCTTTTGATACTCAACATTAAACATAAAACTTAGCCGTTAAGGCTCTTCTGAAAATATTTTTTTTTTGAAAAATTTTCGAAAAAAATCAAAAAATTTAAAAATCCCGAATCTGCAGGGATTTTAAAAAATTCTTTTAGTAAAACTTAAGGATATTGTATCAGATATATTGGTATGGGCAAATTCAATTTTAATCAATATTTCATCGAGATATTAAGTTAACGAAGCTTTCAAAATTGAGAGGGTAATCCTCCTCCTCTCAAATAAACGTACTGCGGGTGCACCCTTAAGACGCATGACAAATGATCGGTTTTCTATCAAACACAACTTCACTCAAAATTTCGATATGCAATTTATTTTAGATTTAAAACATTTGAAGCATTAATGTTAAAAATATTAGGTATTGGTCGATCAATACATCTTTTTACAACTATCACTTTTGTCAATTTTTTATAAAATTTTGAATGATATTCAGATTTAGCTTTAAATGAATTTATAGACCAAAACAAAATCTTGTAATCAAGGGAACAGGAGTTTTAGGGCCTCAAACTGATCATTCAATGATGCAGTTCATTTGATTATTGAAAATGGAATCACTGAAAGAAAAAGGTGCATTTTCAAATTACTATATGCTTGAGGATGTTGTATTTCCGGATTCTCTTGAAATAATTGGTAATGATGTGTTTACAAGAACAAAATTAAGAATTTAACTATACCAAGAAGCGTAATCAATTTGGATTCAGGAAATTCGTTCGATCTAATAGAAACTCTTGAGTATGCGCAAGTTGCACCGGAAAATCCTAAATTTATTTCAATAGACGGAATACTTTATACCAGAGACATGAAAACGTTGTATATTTTTCCAAAAAATAAAATAAATATTACTTACTTTTCTGTCCCTTATGGAGTTGAAACAATTACAGTTGCTGCTTTCTCTGGAACTCGATACGTTTCAACTTTAGTAATTTCTGAAACAGTACGAACTATAGGCGCATATTTCTGCCGTTATTCGGCGGTACAAGCTGTCATTATCAAACAAAGAAAAGGAAATACGAATCAGTGAAAATGATCTTTTAAAGGAACGATATACAATGTCACTATAGAATATCTCAACCGTCATCCGGAATCTTGTGTCATGTAATATTTATAATTTCAAATATTTAATTTCATTTACTTAATTATCAGTAATAATTTGATCTAACTTAACACTAGCATTTCTGAACTTGTCTTATTTGTTAAACTTATCTTTACTGTTGTTTTTCCAAAACTGAATTTTGCCTTGATTTCTGAAAATTTGATATTTGTAAGTAATTGATCAAGACCTTATCTTAAATATCGGTAAAGGATTTTTGGGTGTTCGTTGATCAGATTTCAGATTTTTAAATTCAATTTGACAAATTGAATTTTTTTGATTTCAAGGATAATGATTTCGAATTTACATACAACATCACAAAAATCGACGAAGAATATTTTCCTATCAAAAATTCAATAGTTTTCTAAAAAAGGTAAATATATAAGGGTAATGCATTTTTGGTATATATTCAATAATAAATTAAATTTTCTATTCTCGCCAAATAAAAAAAGTTAATGACCTCTAATGAAACCCAACAAGAATTATATTTATTGGGGATTCTGGAGTGGGAAAGACATCAATAATTCATTATGCTAAAAATGGATTCTTCGAAAGTCGTACAATGACTACTTATTGGCGCAGGTATAACGCAAATGGAAACAAAGGTTGGAAACGAAACCGTAAAATATCAACTATGGGATACAGCGGCCAAGAAATGTACAAAATATTGTTCCTATTTATTTTAAAGGAGCTACCGCTGCAATAATCGTTTTTTCAGTAACGGATGCAGAAATTCCGACACCTTGATGGATGGATTAAACAATTGCAAGATCACGCATCAGAGAAAGTTGGAATCGTTTTAGTTGGAAATAAAATTGACAGTCCCGATCATAAAGTAGAAATAGAAGAAGGAAATGCCTACGGAAAAAACTTACGGCTATCCAGTTATATATACGTCAGCAGTAACTGGCGAAAACATCGACGATGTATTAATTGATCATATTGCCTCGTCATTGGCCGCAAAGTCAACGTTTGAGGGAACATCAGTAATATCCAAACCCCAGCCGAAACAAAAAAGAAATGTTGTTAATACATTTTATTTATTTTGTTTGGTTTCTGCAATTCGGTAGTCTAATTTTATAAAAAAGTAATTACTTTTATATGTATTTGTCTTGTTTATGTTATTTAGTTTTTACCATTCAGAATTTCTGATTTAAAAATGGCTTTATTTGAAATATCCATTAGATATTATACTTCAAAAGCATGAAATTCGAGTTCAATATTATGATTTATGGCAGAAAATTTCACGATAATTTTAAAAAAGAGGCCCGTTTTAAAACCACACATAGATACAGTACTACTCCATCATACTGATAATTTTCCCAATAAATTTTAAGCATTGTTTTAATCCGCCGAAGCAAATTTCACATCTCTCTCTGAAATTCAGATCGCGTCATTGGGTTGAAAGCAAATATTATAAATTTCATAGATAAATATAATAATATATAACTAAACTACGGAAATTTACTAAAAATGAAATGAAATTATAAGGAATATTGCAAAGTGTTAACTGAAAGAATTAACACCACGAGCAATAATCACATTAACGATAGCTCTGACTTTTCCAACTCATTGAAATCAATTGAATCAAAGATTGATTGGAAAAGCTCATTGTCAATTTTTGTCTCAAATTTCTCTTCTTTTTTGACAACGGTAGGCGGTTGATATGGCTTGCTATTAGATGCATCTGAAGTCATATCTAACACGTTGTTCACATTTACATTGCGGCGCATTAATTTGCTATATTGCAATTTAATTGAAAATACTGTTCTATTTTTCATTTGAGATGAAATAAATGACCACTTATGGCCAATCTTCTCAACACAGTTAAGTATAAATAAGTTTTCTTCTGGTGTGAATTCGCATTTGTTTCTTCGATTGTCGAGGTAATTCATCCAGCGCTCCTTGCATTGTCTTACACTTCTTGTACCCATTTGTTGTGACACAACTGTCCAATTAATAACCCTCTTTTTGTGATAGAAATTCACTAATTTAATGAGTTTTTCATCCTCTTCCTTTGAGAACATGCTTCTTTTTCTTTCTTTAACTTCGCCATTATGCTTTTGCTTTGCTTCAGAACCAAATCCATGGAATTCATCATCGCTAGATCCCATATTTATTTAACCAGATAGCGAAATGAAAATCATGCTTTTCAATATTTGAGGCAATTCAAATGGAGTAAAATTCGGTATTGGAACAGTTCTATATAATTCATTGCATATAGCAAAAATACTCCGGTTACAATGTCAAAAAACTTGAAGGAAATTAAGTTGTTATCAAAATTGAGAGGCCAACAGACAAATAACTCCTAGTTTGAAGGGGACGATACCAACCAACTTTCTAGTGCAGAATATGAATATATACATCATAATAAATGAAAATAATTAATACAGAAAAACTTTTTTAATGAAATTTCAAGTTTTCCTTCAATTTGATGAGGTGCGTAAATCATATTCCTATTATTCACATGTAGACACAGAAAGAGATATGAAAAAACTAAAATAGAAATTCTGTTTTTCAACGTTTTGATAAAAGATTATAAATTTAAAAAAATAATTATGATATTTTTAATCAATGTGGTAAATTGAATAATTAATAAAACAAAGCAATTTAGAAACTTCTGAATTGATTTTTATATAAAAATGGAAATTAATTTGAATTTGATAAATATTTTTGCTATTGATGAAAACATACTGCATACATATTAATATTTTTGCACACTTAAAAAATTGGTCCGGTTAGTTACTTAAAGCATCTTTTCTAGGCTTGATGGTATGTTGATTTCTTTCGGGCACGTTTGAAAGTATTCAATTTATTCAATTTTGATAGAAATTGGCCTCTGCCCTTTTAAATTTTTCAAAAGAGGATTTTATTTTTTATCCGATTTCTGATCGTTATGATACCAATTACACTGTGGATCAAAATAAATTTAGAACGATAATTTTCAATTTTATAAGGCATGTTCCAACAAATATATAAACTTGAATTCTTTGCTGTATGGATAATTTAAAGCAACATTAATTAAAGCAAACATTATAATCGATTATCAATTTCTGGTAATTTCAATTCTGAAAAATTCACAAAATAAACAAAACGTTGTCAATCAATAAAATGACGAATTATTTTTCTTTCTAATAATTCTCTAAGTTTTCAAAATTTAAATGATTTTCTTCCATCTTTGAATCAGAAAATTAAGATTTTTTTTCATTTCATTTTAAAACTATCCCTTTATGATACATAGCCAAAACTAACATTAAAATTTTATTGTTTATTTTTATCACCCCAAATTTATCACTTTACAAATCTTACATTAGTAACTACAACTTAACTAATCAATTATTCTTCATAACAATCAAGATTTCAACCAAAATAACAACTCTTTTTATTATTTACGTCAATTCTCATAAATTCAAACGCTATGTAAGTGAATTTGAGCCGTAAAATATATATGACGATAGGTTTCATTTCATGCTTTATCAAAAACTCAAAATTGTCACAATTTTCGATTCTTATCGACTAAATTGATAGTATCTCTTTACTAATTTTTCAGTTACATTGCAAATATCGTAATAAGTCAAGCTACTGACCATAGATATTCCTTTTAAATAGTAATCTCTTTAATAAAATTTTCCAATTTTTTTGTTTTTAGAAAAATGAATTAATCTTAGATAAATAAACAAATTAGTTAAAAATAGAAATATTATTAAGTAAAGAAAAGTTCAAGCATTTATTAAAAAAAAAATTATAAAAATTAACGAAGGATACCAGCAGCACGAAGCTTCATGAGGGCGTCACGGATTGTAGGATCAGATAAGTACTTCTGAGCTTCCATTGGATTCTCCTGCATTGTTCTAAGTACGTTACTAATTGTAGGATCTTGCATAATTCTCTGGATCTCAGGATCAGCCATTGCGTGACGAATCTGTTCCTCATCAGGTGCTGTATATGAGTTCTTAGCGATTGCTGCATTGACAGATTGAATTCCACCGATTGCTTCAGCGTTGTTTGGATCAATTCTCAAAGCCTCGTTGTAGTCATCAAGTGCCTTGTGGTATTCCTTCATCTGGATGTGGCAGTAGCCTTTTCTTGTGTAAGCTTTGACGAATTTAGGATCAAGTTCAATTGCTTTGTCGCAATCCTTGATGGCCATTGGCATTTCACCGAGTTTGGAGTATGCACCAGCTCTATTTGAGTATAATCTGGCATCGCGTGGTGCTCTTTTGATGGCTTCGTTGTAATGCTGGATTGCTTCTGGGATATTTCCTTCTCTGAAGCATTTGTTACCTGCTTCCTTCTCTTGTTCAGCGATCTCTGGGTTCTCGTAAGCTGCGGCATCGCGTTTTGCCTTTAATTGCTCGAGACGAGTTAATTCGCGCTTCACAGTTGGATCTTTCTTCTCGAGAAGTGATGAATTAAGGGCTGCAATGGCTGCTTCGAGGTTTCCTCGGGCCGCTTCCGCTGTAGCGATCTTTGTATATGCTTTTGCAATAGTTTCATAATCGCAACCGTGCTGGCGACCGAGTTCGATACCTTTTGTAGCAACATCAACAGCTTCCTGGTACTTCTTTAGCTTTGTAAGTGCTGTAGCCTTGTTATTGTAAAATGTAACGTTATGTGGTTCGATTTCGATAGCTTTGTCGTAGTGTTCGATAGCTCCTTCGATGTTTCCTTCCTTGAAGAGCTTGTTGCCTTCTTCTTTCTCGGCTTCAGCTTCATCATTCTTTGGCTTTGCTTCTGGCTTTGGTTTCTCCTCTTCCTTTGGCTGTGGAGCTGGTTTGACTGGCTCTTCTTCGTCATCTTCTTCATTTGGAGACTCTGATGAACCTTTTTGATTTGCTTGCATGCTCTGTAAGAGTGGTTCAAGGAGAGCTTCCATGCAGACTTGGACACGATTATCGCTTGCGTAATTCTGGAAGTTCTTTGGATTTGCCTTGAGATCATCAATAATTTTGACGAAGCCTGGGTCATTGAAGAATGCGGCTGTCTTAGGATTGTATCTGAGAGCATCGAAATTCTCTGGCCTGAAGAAATTACCTAAGTTAGCGAATGGATTTGCTCCAGCACTTGCTTGCTGTTGTCTGATAGCGTTTTCGCATGCTGCAAGGTCTTCCTTTGCGCCTGCATTGTTTGGATCAAGCTCAAGAACCTTTCTGTATGAAGCAGCAGCACCTTCATAGTCATGTAAACCTTGAAGTGCAGCACCGAGACGAGAGTGGCCACGTGGCCAGTCTGGCTTGATTTCAATAACCTTTCTAGCATCAGCTGCTGCTTGCTGATACTTCTGAGATGCACAGTATGCACCAGATCTGTTTGAATAAAGTGCATAATTAGTTGGATCTAAATCAATAGCATCTGTATAGCACTCAATAGCCTTTGGGTAGTTGTGTTCATTGAAGAATTTGTTACCTTGGGCTTTTAGTTCGTCAACTCCTGACATCAAAAAGTTAAGTGTCCGCCCATTTAACTTTACGATGATTCAAAAAATAAATCGCCAGACCAACTAAATTCTCTCAAATTTTCCCTATGCTATTTAGATAGCCTGGATACTTCTCCTGGAGATTTATAACATTTTGAGAACTTATTTGTATGCAATATATTGAGATAAGATTGTATATGAATTAATAGCAAATCTTGATCAAGGTAGTCCCTTCAATATGCTTCAAACATAAAACAATTCGTTGTATTGCTCTTTCATGTTGTTATATGCTCATCATATTAGATAATTGAAGAAGATTATTTATATATTTCGATGTATAGCATCAATTTCTAGGATGACAGGATTCTTGGCATGATCTCTTCATCTGTTAGATCAATTATTTCCAAATTTGACAATCTCAAGAGAGGAAACTTTGTTATAACTAAAAAACATTCCAAATTGGCAAATAAAGGAGTACGAATTCGAGAGATATTTATTAGCTAATGAACATAAATTCAAGGATGAAGAGAAAACCTCTTATATTAAAAACAGCAATATTGCAAGATCTCATGCAAGCAGAGTCCAGAACAGTAATACGTACATAACCATTTCCCACATGTCCAATATCCTCAACACGATTGATTGAAGTTGGTGATGGGATTTCAGAATTTCCCTGGATTGTTACAGTATTTTCAAAGAAGAATCCAGAAGGATGCATACTGGTTCCTAGTGAGCTTCCTCGAGCATTCATTGCAATACAGCCTGGGTGGCCGCTAATAAAGGAGCTACCACCGCTACCACCCGAAGTAAATTCAGAATCTCCTACAACAGAAACCGATCCCCCAAGCCCACCATAATATCCTCCACCGCCGCTTCCGGCTGTAGAAGGGCCGTCTTGTCCTTTCCCACCTTGGAGAATTTGGTACCCAGATGTTTGTGTAGCAGCTCTGACCAAAGAAAGGGGTGAACCACGTGAAATTTGCCCTTATGTTCCTTTAATTCCGCCGCCATGGCCACCTAAGCCAGCGCAAACAAAGGACCCGCTGCTTCCACCACCACCAGCCACCATAATTCGATCATAAATGGTGGGATTGTATGTGGCGGTTTTTCGATATTATTCCTTGATAACTCTTGTTCATCAATAAAATACAACAATGAAATAAAAAAGTTCATTATTTCAAAACGGAGTTTATATTGTTGGATATGGGAATACTCATCATGTTGATACTCTGATTTGGCTAGTATAAATCAATAGTTACCATGCAACAATAGTGAAAGAGTAATCATATTCAGAATATTTTGAAGTCAAAGAATTTTATATCACTTCATATTTGGCTTCTAATAAATTTTAAATTTAATTTTGATAAAATTAAAAAAAAAAGGTAGTGGGGCTTCCAGGCACTTCGTGCCCTCTAGCCCCGAAGATGTTTAGTATAAATGAAGTTTTTATTCGGAAAATTGTTAGTCTTCTGGTGTGAATTCGGAGGACTCTTCTTCTTCCTCCATTGCTTCTGGGAAGAAGCCTCTTCTGGGTCGAAAACATTATATAATGGTCGTCGTTTTCACAAATTATATATGTTTTCATGTTTTGTCACTTTTCTGTCACTTTTCGGGTAAAAACATTTTTATTATTATATATAAATGAATTTTACAAAACCTCCGTTACCGTTCTTTGGAAATAAGAGTAAATGTAAAGATATTATATTGAGAGAACTTAAGAAACTACCGAATGGTCTAACATTTGTAGATTTGTTCGGTGGAAGTTTCTATATATCCCATTTGTGCCATACAATTTTTCCAGACTCAAAGATTATATGCAATGACTTCGACAACTATATGGACCGTCTCAAACATATTCCAGACACAAACAATATATTGAAAGAGTTAAAAGAAAAGATACCTATAGGTAAGATAGAACGTATACCATTAGATAAGAAAAAATATGTGAGAGAGGTTTTGAAAAAAGCAGAATATATAGACTGGGATAGTATATCTGCTAGACTATTATATAGTGGTTCTATAAGAGTTCATGACATTGAAACACTTATGTCAAAAGTTTTATATCTTAACTATACAAATGTTTTCAAAGAGGACATAGAAAATATATTGAGGGTATAGAGTTTGTGAGATGTTATTGGACAGAGTTGTATGAAAAATATAAAGACAAGGAAAATGTTTCTTTATAGTGGACCCGCCGTTCTATAACACATGGGATTTTCAATACCAAGTAGACTGGACTTTGAGAGACTCTTTAGAAACTTTAGACGTTTACATAACCATCCATGCTTTTACTTTACATCCGATAAAAGTGGTTTGGAAAGTGTCATGAAATGGTTAGAGGACATACATGACTATGAGTTTAGATATGACAAGATAGAATATGAGAGAGGTCCTATAAACCGGAGAAAGTGTCATAACAAAGAAATTTATTAGTAAGTAAATGTGGTTTGAAATAGGACTACTTGTTTTAGGTTTTTTCCATTGTGTCATTTATTTATTTGACGTGGCAGAAAAGTACAGAGAATATGAAGATGAACCAATGCCTGCAAATGTTCAGTATATGTACTCGTAAGAGATATTTTATCTAATATTAAATGGACGCACAGAACTTAGCGAATGCACAGCAACCTGGACAACCAAACCCAGAGAATATTCCAAATGAAGTTAGAATACAAACTGCAATGTGCAAACTATGGTCAAGTGCCAACAGATGTACAAATGCAAACTGCCATGTTCAAATGACGCTGCGTTAGGTTTGCCACCATGGTATGCAAATATGAGATGGAAAGAGTTTTATACAAACCCTGAAGTGGGATATAAACAACTTTATGCAGATGACGCGAACACAGGAGTTGACCCAGAATATGTTTTCTACCAGAGGAGAAACAGAATGTATGAGCTCCAGTTAAAGAATGCTATGGAACTCAACAGGAAACGTAAGAGACTAGGCGGACATTAGATTTTTACATATAGTAAAATGGGTTTCTTCAGTAAGATAGGAAACTTCTTCGAAATGTTGGAAGAGGTATATGGAATGGAATAAAAACCGTAGGAAGAGGAATTTGGAACGGAGTCAAAAATATTGGTAAAAGAGTAGGTCAGTTCGTTGGTATTATACCTAAAGACCCTGAACCAGAGAGCAAGCTCCTGTTATACAACAGCCTGAACCTACACCACAGTCTAGTTGGCAACCAAATCCAACACCTCAACCGTATTAAAAAATTATATTTTACCGTTCGATAGTAGTTGTATATGAAACTAAGTTCTAAGTAAAACGCATGATATATGGAATTATTCTTTTTCTTCCATCTGTAGTAAACCATACTTGAAAGTCTGAAATACTTCCACTTGGTGGTTCGTATAACTTTGTAGGTTTTTCGTAAAAATCATTCATCAGACATAAAGAAAGAGTTTTGCGCACCAGAAAATGAAGCATGAACAATAATAGCATCTGGGTCGAAAATATTTTCATATGTTCCATTAGGGTTTTCGACTTCATAAAAGTCTGGGTGTACTGATATGCTGCAGGCTGATTTAACATCCTCATAAATCTATACCATGCCAAGTTGTTATATTTTGTAGAAATATAAACGTTTTCTCCAAGGTCTTCTATTCTATTGATTTTAACAGTTGCTTTTTCCTGTCATAAATAATATCGAGATGGTATTCTCCCTCGTCAATGTTATACTGTTTTGCATATTCGATATAGATATCGTTTATTTTTTCTTGAAAAGCTTGAAGAGTTGTTTCTAAGTTTACAAGCAAACTAACTTGTAAAAGTTTTCCCTGTTCAAATTTCTCATACATACGTTTTTCTTGTTTATAGTATCGAACTTCAAAACCGACCGTAAATGGGAAACCATGTATGGCTTCTGAAATGAACTTCATTCTACGAAAGCCAATAGCTTTTGTGACAGATGGTCTTAGCCATCTTAATGGTAGTCAAAACGATAGCCTTCATGCTTTACGGTCTCTGTCTCAAACTTTTGACCGACATTAGTAAAAAGTTCATCTAATGGTTTAGTGTAGCAACTCTTGAATTTTCTTTTCTATTGGAAGCATATTTTATCTAGAATAAAAATGTCGAAAGATATTGCTTCCATAAGAGAAATACAACACAACCGACAACTCATTATGCAAGCTCTAAATAAGAACACAACAAACTTTTCAAACTATTCTAAGATATCTGAGTCATTGAAAGAAGGAAACTTAAAACTGACATTAAACCCAATGACAGATGAGTTTCTGTTCAAGACAATAAGAACCATACTGTCTGTATAAATCCAACAAAGGAACTTTAAACGAGAAACCTATAAATGAACTTCTTTTGAAAACAGATGTTGACAACAAAGCTGACAAAGAATATGTAGACGATGCCAATAGCAAAAGAAGAAGAAAGAGCTAACAATGCTTATGCAAACAAAAGAACATACTCATCCTGAACTAGCAGACAAAACATTGTTGACAATAAAATGTCAAGTGAAGTGACAAGAGCTGAAAACGAATATTCTAAAAAGACTCATACACATTCTATATCTGAAATAACAGACTTAAACGTTAGCCTTGAAAAGAAAGCAGACAAGAACCATACACATACCATTGCAAATATTACAAACTTACAAGAAACCTTAAACAGGAAAAGTGCCGTTGGACATACACATTCTATATCTGAAATAACAGACTTAAACGTTAGCCTGAGAAGAAAGCAGACAAGAACCATACACATGATTTCTTCACAACTGTTGCTATAGAAAGTATTGAAGGAACGGTTGAAGAAACTGGTGGGATGCATTATATTGTAAACCTCCTAACTTTCCACAAGGTTTAACATCGGATGACGACATAACGACGATGAGAAACATTAGATGTAAAGATGTTTATGTCATGAAGGATGAATATAATATTAAATTCACTGCTCAAGATTTTATATGACAAGAAAGCAGACAAAAAAGAGCTTCAAACATTAAAGACAGAAATACTTCAAACATTATATCCTATAGGCTCTATTTATACGTCAATGAACTCTACCAGACCAGAAACAGTTCTGGGTTTTGGAACTTGGACTCAAATAGTCGACAGGTTTTTGTATTGTGCAAACTCTTCAAAGGAAACAGGGAAGTAAAACGATTTCAGGTGAAAATTTACCTGCACATAGTCACTACATAGATTTAAGTACATCTCAAGCAGTTGGCATAAGCATAAATTTTGGGATTGGTCGGCAATGACAAAAAGTAAAGGATATGATGTTAAAGACAACGTTCAGTTTGCTATAAATTGTTTCTGGGTATCTCTTTCTTTAAAAAAATCTTAATTTTCTGATTCAAAGATGGAAGAAAATCATTTAAATTTTGAAAACTTAGAGAATTATTAGAAAGAAAAATAATTCGTCATTTTATTGATTGACAACGTTTTGTTTATTTTGTGAATTTTTCAGAATTGAAATTACCAGAAATTGATAATCGATTATAATGTTTGCTTTAATTAATGTTGCTTTAAATTATCCATACAGCAAAGAATTCAAGTTTATATATTTGTTGGAACATGCCTTATAAAATTGAAAATTATCGTTCTAAATTTATTTTGATCCACAGTGTAATTGGTATCATAACGATCAGAAATCGGATAAAAAATAAAATCCTCTTTTGAAAAATTTAAAAGGGCAGAGGCCAATTTCTATCAAAATTGAATAAATTGAATACTTTCAAACGTGCCCGAAAGAAATCAACATACCATCAAGCCTAGAAAAGATGCTTTAAGTAACTAACCGGACCAATTTTTTAAGTGTGCAAAAATATTAATATGTATGCAGTATGTTTTCATCAAATAGCAAAAATATTTATCAAATTCAAAATTAATTTCCATTTTTATATAAAAATCAATTCAGAAGTTTCTAAATTGCTTTGTTTTATTAATTATTCAATTTACCACATTGATTCAAAATATCATAATTATTTTTTTAAATTTATAATCTTTTATCAAAACGTTGAAAAACAGAATTTCTATTTTAGTTTTTTCATATCTCTTTCTGTGTCTACATGTGAATAATAGGAATATGATTTACGCACCTCATCAAATTGAAGGAAAACTTGAAATTTCATTAAAAAAGTTTTTCTGTATTAATTATTTTCATTTATTATGATGTATATATTCATATTCTGCACTAGAAAGTTGGTTGGTCATCGTCCCCTTCAAACTAGGAGTTATTTGTCTGTTGGCCTCTCAATTTTGATAACAACTTAATTTCCTTCAAGTTTTTTGACATTGTAACCGGAGTATTTTTGCTATATGCAATGAATTATATAGAACTGTTCCAATACCGAATTTTACTCCCTATTGAATTGCCTCAAATATTGAAAAGCATGATTTTCATTTCGCTATCTGGTTAAATAAATATGGGATCTAGCGATGATGAATTCCATGGATTTGGTTCTGAAGCAAAGCAAAAGCATAATGGCGAAGTTAAAGAAAGAAAAAGAAGCATGTTCTCAAAGGAAGAGGATGAAAAACTCATTAAATTAGTGAATTTCTATCACAAAAAGAGGGTTATTAATTGGACAGTTGTGTCACAACAAATGGGTACAAGAAGTGTAAGACAATGCAAGGAGCGCTGGATGAATTACCTCGACAATCGAAGAAACAAATGCGAATTCACACCAGAAGAAAACTTATTTATACTTAACTGTGTTGAGAAGATTGGCCATAAGTGGTCATTTATTTCATCTCAAATGAAAAATAGAACAAGTATTTCAATTAAATTGCAATATAGCAAATTAATGCGCCGCAATGTAAATGTGAACAACGTGTTAGATATGACTTCAGATGCATCTAATAGCAAGCCATATCAACCGCCTACCGTTGTCAAAAAAGAAGAGAAATTTGAGACAAAAATTGACAATGAGCTTTTCCAATCAATCTTTGATTCAATTGATTTCAATGAGTTGGAAAAGTCAGAGCTATCGTTAATGTGATTATTGCTCGTGGTGTTAATTCTTTCAGTTAACACTTTGCAATATTCCTTATAATTTCATTTCATTTTTAGTAAATTTCCGTAGTTTAGTTATATATTATTATATTTATCTATGAAATTATATATATTTGCTTTCAACCCAATGACGCGATCTGAATTTCAGAGAGAGATGTGAAATTTGCTTCGGCGGATTAAAACAATGCTTAAAATTTATTGGGAAAATTATCAGTATGATGGAGTAGTACTGTATCTATGTGTGGTTTTAAAACGGGCCTCTTTTTTAAAATTCGATGAAATTTTCTGCCATAAATCATAATATTGAACTACGAATTTCATGCTTTTGAAGTATATAATTCTAATGGATATTTCAAATAAAGCCATTTTTAAATCAGAAATTCTGAATGGTAAAAACTAAATAACATAAACAAGACAAATACATATAAAAGTAATTACATTTTTATAAAATTAGACTACCGAATTGCAGAAACCAAACAAAATAAATAAAATGTATTAACAACATTTCTTTTTTGTTTCGGCTGGGGTTTGGATATTCACTGATGTTCCCTCAAACGTTGACTTTGCGGCCAATGACGAGGCAATATGATCAATTAATACATCGATGTTTTCGCCAGTTACTGCTGACGTATATATAACTGGATAGCCGTAAGTCTTTCCGTAGGCATTTCCTTCTTCTATTTCTACTTTATGATCGGGACTGTCAATTTTATTTCCAACTAAAACGATTCCAACTTTCTCTGATGCGTGATCTTGCAATTGTTTAATCCATCCATCAAGGTGTCGGAAAGTTTCTGCATCCGTTACTGAAAAAACGATTATTGCAGCGGTAGCTCCTTTAAAATAAATAGGAACAATATTTCTGTACATTTCTTGGCCGGCTGTATCCCATAGTTGATATTTTACGGTTTCGTTTCCAACCTTTGTTTCCATTTGCGTTATACCTGCGCCAATAGTAGTCATTGTACGACTTTCGAAGAATCCATTTTTAGCATAATGAATTATTGATGTCTTTCCCACTCCAGAATCCCCAATAAATATAATTCTTGGTTGGGTTTCATTAGAGGTCATTAACTTTTTTTATTTGGCGAGAATAGAAAATTTAATTTATTATTGAATATTATCCAAAAATGCATTACCCTTATATATTTACCTTTTTTAGAAACACTATTGAATTTTTGATAGGAAAATATTCTTCGTCGATTTTTGTGATGTTGTATTGTAAATTCGAAATCATTATCCTTGAAATCAAAAAAATTCAATTTGTCAAATTGAATTTAAAAATCTGAAATCTGATCAACGAACACCCAAAAATCCTTTACCGATATTTAAGATAAGGTCTTGATCAATTACTTACAAATATCAAATTTTCAGAAATCAAGGCAAAATTCAGTTTTGGAAAAACAACAGTAAAGATAAGTTTAACAAATAAGACAAGTTCAGAACATAGAAGCTAGTGTTAAGTTTAGATCAGAATTATTACTGATAATAAAGTAAATGAAATTAAAATTTGATTATAAATATTACATGCACAAGATTCCGGATGACGGTTGAGATATTCTATAGTGACATTGTATATCGTTCCTTTAAAAAGATCATTTTCACTGATTCGTATTTTTCCTTTTCTTTGTTTGATAATGACAGCTTGTACCGCCGAATAACGGCAGAAATATGCGCCTATAGTTCGTACTGTTTCAGAAATTACTAAAGTTGAAACGTATCGAGTTCCAGAGAAAGCAGCAACTGTAATTGTTTCAACTCCATAAGGGACAGAAAAGTAAGTTATATTTTTATTTTTTGGAAAAATATACAACGTTTTCATGTCTCTGGTATAAAGTATTCCGTCTATTGAAATAAATTTAGGATTTTCCGGTGCAACTTGCGCATACTCAAGAGTTTCTATTAGATCGAACGAATTTCCTGAATCCAAATTGATTACGCTTCTTGGTATAGTTAAATTCTTAATTTTTGTTCTTGTAAACACATCATTACCAATTATTTCAAGAGAATCCGGAAATACAACATCCTCAAGCATATAGTAATTTGAAAATGCACCTTTTTCTATCTCAGTGATTCCATTTTCAATAATCAAATGAACTGCATCAGTTGAATGATCAGTTTGAGGCCCTAAAACTCCTGTTCCCTTGATTACAAGAGTTTTGTTTTGGTCTATAAATTCATTTAAAGCTAAATCTGAATATCATTCAAAATTTTATAAAAAATTGACAAAAGTGATAGTTGTAAAAAGATGTATTGATCGACCAATACCCTAATATTTTTAACATTAATGCTTCAAATGTTTTAAATCTAAAATATATTGCATATCGAAATTTTGAGTGAAGTTGTGTTTGATAAGAAAACCGATCATTTGTCATGCGTCTTAAGGGTGCACCCGCATGTACGTTTATTTGAGAGGAGGAGGATTACCCTCTCAATTTTGAAAGCTTCGTTAACTTAATATCTCGATGAATATTGGATTAAAATTGAATTTGCCCATACCAATATATCTGATACAATATCCTTAAGTTTTACTAAAAAGAATTTTTTAAAATCCCTGCAGATTCGGGGATTTTTAAATTTTTTGATTTTTTTCGAAAATTTTTCAAAAAAAAAATATTTTCAGAAGAGCCTTAACGGCTAAGTTTTATGTTTAATGTTGAGTATCAAAAAGAATGGGCATCTGATATAGCCATCATATATCCCAGAAGCAAATAAAAATTCTGACTTTTTAAGCATAAAAAATGAAATTTTATTTTTTGCAAAAAACAGGCCACCCGGATGTACGTTTATTTGAGAGGAGGAGGATTAAATTTTTGAAAGCACTAAAATTTGTAAATATGCTAGTTATATAATAATATGCATTATTTAAAAAAATAAAAATTAAAGCACGTTAAAATCTTTTTTGATGAATTTTTACAAAAGCTACTCAGGATAATGCAAGATATGAGTAGTTAAACATAAATTTCAAATCAGATTTTACTTATAATAAATATTTTAAATTTCCGAAAATTAAGTTCAGATCGACTCTATACGTAGTAAATACTAAATAATGTGCCAAAAACCTATTAAACAGTATCAAAACTATCAAGATTGTAATGTTTTTGAAGAAAAATTTATAGAATTATGGACCTCAAACAGATATTATGTAAATAAAAATAATATAATGAATTTATTTATTCGTATAATAGCAGTAATAAGTCGATTATTCACTTCTACTTCTGAGATTTGAATTTAATTTCGACAGAAAAAGAGATTCAAGAGGAAAATACTAGGGGATACAAACAGCCACCATGACAGGATTATTATGGAGCCAAGTTGTATTTTTTGATATTTTTAGAGTTTTCCTACCTATTTAGGTACCAAGTTATTGCTTAAAAATTAAGGTTCTAAATTCTGAAGTTTACATGATCCTCCCGGGCGCACCCTTAATAGAGAGAATACACTCATCGAAAACAATCTTCAGCCAATGGCTGGCTGCACTCCAGAGGAGATCCAGAGTCGGTTTGTCAAAGCAATTACACCATACAAAGAGTTCATTGATCAATTTCAAGCAGCTTTATTGCTCAAGAACATCAAATTCTTTGTAGCAATTATGGTTACAGTTATTGGTTTGATCACAATCTTTGGTTTACTTATTAGATCATCCATTCCAAATCTTGTTGTTGCAATTATTGCAATTCCAATCTTAGAATTATTCTATTGCTTTGATGCACATCTCAAAGTAAAGAAATTATACATTGCTGAGATCCCACAATCAGCTGAAGGTGCTCTTGATCGTCTTTGGACACTTGAAGAAATCATTGCCCTTGTTTGGAAGCCAGCACTTATGATTTGGCGTTTCGGATTCTTCGTTTATGCTACATTTGTATGTCCAAACCCAGTAGATACAATCGCTTTCATTTTAATGTGCATTCTCCTTTCATTTGTGAACAAGTTCATCAACTTCTTTGTTCTCTTCTCTGTTCTTCTTGTTCTTGCTCTTGTCGCACCAGCAATTCTTGTTAAAACACCAGCTGGTGAAAAACTTAGAGAATTCCTTAACAAAAAGAAGGAAAAAGCTGAATAAACATAAAATATAAAACTTTAGCCTGTCATGTAAAGATTATTTAATGTCTATGTAATTCTCCCCTACCAGAAAATCTATAGGAGTATCTAAAACAAGAAGAATTAATATTATGAAAATAATCATTATGTTTTAAACCATAAAAATAAACTGGGTTTATCTCATGATCGTGTTAAATGAAAAATATGAATTGTTTTCAAATATATATTTTTTTATTCAGAAATTTAATGATCACAATGGCAATCTGGTGAGCATTTGTTGTCTTTTGTGCAGTGGCAATCGTTTCCACACTTGCAGCCTTCGTTGCAATGGCAGCCTTCTCCACAATGGCAATCTGGTGAGCATTTGTTGTCTTTTGTGCAGTGGCAATCGTTTCCACACATGCAGCCTTCGTTGCATTTGCATTCCTTCTGATGACACTTGCACTCACCATCACAGTGGCAGTTCTCTGAGGATTGCTTGTTGCACTGGCATGTTTCTTGAGCAGACATCTTCTAAAATGATTTTATGATGATTCAAGTGATCTCTCAATAAATTGAGAAATGTTTTTTCCCCTCTCAAAAAATCTCACTCAATTCAATAAAATTCTCAATGGTTTTATCAATTATTTATATTGATGTGTCAATAGTAAATCTCTTAAGTTTGAAAAAAATCTTCATTGTTCACTCAAATTTGAAACTTTTATCTTCTCAAAATATATTTTGCTGGTGTCAAACCGCCATTCCTCGGAGGATAATGGGCTGATCCTGATCGAGCGATTGAGAGTACACCGAAATTGAATGTGTCTCACAAAACATATATATACATTGATGTATTTAAATTCTTCATTACTGTATAAAAATTCTTTATAAAAATATCTGTTATACGGTATGGCATCTTTTGCTGGTCGCTATGTTCACTGCCAGAGAAAAAGTCGTTCAAAGGTACCACATTATAAAACAATTGAAAGTTGTTTATAATAAATGTGAAATTATACGGATTCAATATGTAACAACCAAAATTTATGTCACATTGGTACATTTGAACACTCTAACGTAACAAATAATTCCTGTTCAAATATAATTTTATACTAATCTAAGTTGTTATACTAGATCTGTATAAAGATTAGAATTAGTTTGAAAAATAAATAGCATGTAGCATATTAGAGAAGTTAAGAAAAAAAAACGAAATAAAATTTCATATAAATGAACTAAATAGTAAAATAATAACAACAAATAATTTATTAATATCGATATCAGTTATCCTCTCCATTCTCAGCTTCTTCATTATCCTCATTATATTCTTCTCTATATCTAGTTTTTCCTGTATGGTCAACATCTTGTTCTTCTTCATCTTCTTGGACATCTTGTTGATCTTCTTCACCTACATCGTCTTCTGTTATTGGTGTTTCGTCAATTTCTTCGACATGAGTCAAATATTGTAAAATTTCGGTTCGAGCGTTAGGAGTTTCTGAGAATGGGGTCTGATAAATGTAAAGATATTTAAGATTTTCTAAATTGCCAAGATTTCTAAATGGCTGAACGTTTTCTATTGGATTTCCATGCACATCCAGAACTTCAAGTTTCGGTAGTACACTTAGCTGTGAAAAGTCTGTAATTTGGTTATCTCCGATGTCGATATCGTTAACTTCGGTCATATCTGGGAGAATAACATTATCTAATGTAGTCAATGCATTTTGGTCAAGCTTATATTGCTGTAAACTCTTTAAACCGGTCATGCAACCTTCTTTTACGTTTTTCAATCCATTTGCTGATAAAAACAAATGAATTAGATTAGGAAAATGTGTAAATGCACCTTCTGAAAGGAAGAATATGCGGTTGTTTGATAGATCAAGTTCTTTTAATTTTGGAGCCTCAAATTTATCAACGAAAGAGAGCTGGTTATGTGATAGATTGAGGGTCTCTACTGTTGGGAAATTACATCCTGAAAGTGTTGTAATCTTGTTCTCTGAGAGATTTAGTATTTTTAGATTTGGAAGTTGTGTAAAAGGAGTAAGATCTGCAATTGAGTTGGTTTTGAGCTCTACATTCTGAAGATATTTGAATTCTGTAATGTTTTTCGCCCCTGTGATGTCTGCATTAGTAATGACCAAAGAAATAAATTGAAAATTAAATTCATTTTCTTCATCATCGCCTCCACGGAGATCAGAAAGTCTATCCTGTATGAATTCTCGACTCATTTCGAACTGTTCCTCTTCTTCACCAGAAGGATAAAGTTGATTATATACTATTTCGTAGGCTTTCTTGAAAAATGTCTCAAAACCATCTCGTGTTATTGCAGCATCAGGAAGCTCGTTCTCAACCATGAATTTAAGATCATCTATTGTACAATCAGGAGGGATTCCGAAATCAAGTTTCTTGAATTTAGTTAGTGTTGCCTCTAGCGCATTCTCTTTTGAAATGAACTCACCTTCGCAGTACTTATCGAACAGTTTATTTGATATGCTAACAATGTCATTGTCTTCTTCTTCCTCCATACTTTCAAAAATTTTTGCTCGTTTTTTTCAGGATTGAGCAGTTCTGGACCAGGTCAAATTGAGGTACATTAAATCTACTATTGTTAATTAGGATAGACTTTGAATAAAGAAATCTGAATTGTGAAGATATGGAATTCCTTACATGCAATATGATAATTTATCCTTTAATTTTATATCCATTTGTTAACCCTACTGTTGTATGTTGTAATAACATGGTTAAAACTAATCATAAATGTATAAATATAATGTTTCTTAAAGAATATGAAAGAAATTGATACATATAACAATATCAATGAAATTGCATCTAGTCTATATTGTGTTTACAAAGTTAAAACAGTTATTCATTAGAAATTATAAAAACGTTTTAAGATGCTTTCGATATTTTTCGAAAATTTGATGTTAATATGATACAAAATTTAAAATAATTGAATTTTATTGATATCAATCCTGAGCCAATTTTCAAAATAATTTGGGAAATTGATTTTTTGAATTAAAATTCAATAATTTTTGACATCAAAATAGAAATTTACAATTTATTTGGAAAAACAAAATGAGGTTTTTCGAGTAGAAAACATCAAATGTTATAAGGTGGCCGATTCTGGTGGAAAAGTGCTGGGAAACGTTCCCCGAGGTAATAAAATCTGGTTTTTATGGTAATAAATTTTTTTCATTTTTTCATTTTCAAAATATTTTTGGAGAAGAAAAAGTTGTTTCCCAGATGATTTGATAATGGATTATGTTTCTACTATTCATATAGGAGCATACTATCCTGTATTCATCCAATTCCCATACCTTCTGGTATCACCACATCTGTGATTCTTTCACCAGATTTTCCTCTCAATTTTTTTACAAAATCTCTCAATTTCTTTACAAAAGTTCTCAATTTTCACCATACCTCATCCAAAATCTGGGGAAAAACATACGTGTTCCTCATATACTTGGGATACACCGAACTTCTAGGGCAATGGATCATCATATGATATCAATGCGAATTTCACAGTAATAATGATTTTCCATCAGATTCAGTATCCTGTGATTGAATGGGAAAGATTTGAACAAATAGTCAACAATGAATCTAATGTAATTCTTGGTATACAGCATAAACACTTAAGATCAATTGTTCACCTTCAGATATTTTAAACCCAGATTCGAAAAAAAACTCATCAACTTACCTTTATACAAAGAATTTCATCCATATTTTAAATATTATGCATGTTCTATCATTACCAAAGGTTTAAATTAATTGAATTAGAGCAAACTATTTTTATTATTAGTAAATTTACTTTGCTAACTGCATATATCATTTTTTTGTTACTTCAAACAAAACTGTACTTACAGATTTAAAAAATTGAGCAAATAAAATTATATTTAAATTTCAATATTTGAATAATACCATTTTAATTAAATAACTTAGGTGCTTTTTCAAAATAATACTGATTCCAAAACTTTAATATCTTAATAAAATGTAATTTGATCCACTTTAAAAAACTGTAATATTTGAAGTGTAAAATTGGTAGATAATGTATAAATTATTAAACTAATTGGTTTATAAAGTTATTAAATTATTTGAATAAAATTTCGAAATACCAAGAGGAAATCAATGAATAAAGAAAAAAACAGAAAGAGAAGGAGAAAATAAAAGGAAAAAGGAGGAAAGGAAAGAAAAAGGAAAAATAATATAGGGCATATTTCATAAATGGCGACATTAACTTTGTGATGTTCATGGCCGGAGGCCCGATTTTTTTACAAGATTATTTTTTCCCCACTGGCTTTTCCCAGATTTTGGGTTTATCAACCAGAAACGACCACCTTAAATGTTACAATATTCAAATGATATAATTAGAAAAATGTTGAAATTTAAAAAATTGAAAAAATAACAAAGTAAATTAAATAAATATTGTGTTTATTCAATCAATTTTAGTCGAAAATTTATGGTTCTGTGACAACTTTCTTAGCATTGAACATGAACAATGCTCTATCGACGTTGTTTTCAATAACTGTAAGATCGTTATAGAGTTTGACAACTTCACTGTATCTGGAGTCGAAGTGGATGTATTCGTTTGTTTCAGGATCGATCTTTCCTGTCAATTCTCCTTCGCGGATTGCGTTTATTACGTGAGCGCAAACTGTAGCGATATTTGTGGATGACTGCACAGAGATTGTGAATAAGGAAATGCGGGAGCATGGCAAAATGAAGTTGATAATATTTCTTCCGATCATTGCGTCGATCATTTCCTTGGAAACAGGAGCAGCGTAAAGGGAATCGTATAAATTAGGTTCGAGCATGTTGATGTATTGCATGGCTTTGCCGTAATCATGTGCTTTGAAGGCATCGACAATATTAGAGATGTGAGGAAGTTTGAAGTTGAGGACGATGTGGTTAAGCTTGTCAAACATTTCAATAACATCAGTGGATGGTGATGTTGCAAGCTTTACGTACATAATCAACTGAACTAAGCAGAATTTGTTGACAAAATCTCTAGTTTCAGATCCCTTGTGGGTTCCATCCAAGTTCAAATTAGGAATTACTGCATTGGCTTCTTGGAAATGTCCAGATGTAACTGCCATCAAGAATTTGAGTGTGGGATTTCCTGTTTTACAGGCAAGAGCATAAGCAACATTATAGTTTTCAAGCATGTAGTTGGCTTCCATCCTCTGCATGTAGAATTTATCTTTTTTGGATTCTTTGATTGCTTTTTGATAGTTTACAAGAGCATTTTTATAATGGAAGTTTGACATATCGGTAGAGGCCTTTGTGCTGTGGTTACTCTTTTGATCTTCACTGCCGCCCTTTCCGATGCCGAAAGCTCCTTTAGGTTCTTTGTTTTTCAGGAGAGTTCCTCCGATAATAATCTTAGAGGTGGGTTGTATTGCAGAATTCATAACAAAAGTAATTTCTGAGCAGTTTGTTTCTTGGGCGTACACTTCTAATTGAGATTTCAACATCTGTTTAGAAGGAGGGTCTTTTTCATTCCTAAGGAGGTGAAGATAGTATCTAATAGAGATACTTGTTTTTACCAGATGGACTAATCTGTTAATCAATTGCTGGCGCTCAGTCATTTGTTTTGACTGTCATAATTTCGATTTCAGAAGTTTACAAAATAATGCAAGGAAAATTTTGCCAGAGGATCTTGAAATTTTCCAAAAAGAATGAATTAAATTGTATCCGGGAACAATTTCCTACAGGAACATTCACCAAAAGCTATTATTGATGGAATTATTTTTTAAATTTTTTTAATTTTTCCATACGAAAGCTGAGATAAGAATTGATTACCAGAAATGTATCATATCATAAGGGTATGACTGAAAGGATATCTAAATAATTGGTTTTTTTTTTCATTATATTGTAATACAGATAAATTATATGCTCACCCAGCTAATTTTATTGATTTTGAAGAGAATATCATCTGTATGATAATATCAAAGATAATCATATTCAATTGAAACTAGTTGAGTGATACTCAGTCGAATTACTGACGTGTAAGTTAATTCACTGTTTTCAAAAGGTAAAGACATAAATATTAAATAGAATAAAAAATATATTGAATTTGAAATATGGATTATAATGTTTTCAATCAAATTTACGATAAAAAATAGCAAAACATTCCAGAGGAAATGATATATCCACTTTTAAATAATCTTATCACTAATACAAACATCAAAAAATTTGATTTCGTTAGCGAAATATAACATGTCGGATGACTTGTTTCGGTTTTCAACAATACAAAGGTACCTGGAGTATGATGCAGAATTTGTTTCATGGATATTCGCGAGTTTTACACAATTACTCGAAGAATAAAATGAAAAGTGACAAATTTTTATGAAAGGAAATAAATCCCCATGTTTCTTTACAAGGCTTCCAGAACAGTTCGGTGGCAAGATTCCATTTATTGTCACCGATCTTGTCTCACGCTTAAGAGAGCTTAATGCGATCAATGAAGTCGGTTTATTCAGATTAAATGGTTCACAAGCTGATATAAACGAAATAATTGCAAAATTAGATAAAGGTAAGATTGCTGATTGGTCAAAATACAGTAATGTTCATACTTTAGCGAATTGTTTGAAAAAATATTTCCGAGATAAAGTTGAAAAAACTCCATTTTTCCCTGCAACATTTAATAATACTTTAGAGCAGCTTTCTACGAAATCAGAACCAGAAGTTACTTCCGGATTGAGAGAGATAATTCTCCAATTACCAAAAGCTCGTATTTATACACTCGCATTCATCGGAAAGTTCCTTGTTGACCTAAAGCAAAACAATGCCAAGAACAAAATGAACGCTAGTAACATTGCAATTGTAATTGGCCCTAACTTCTTCAATTTCGATCCAAAGATAACCAACATTTTATTCTGTAACTTACTACAGCATTACGACGAAATTTTTAACGGATTCGAAGTTACCGAACAATTATTTTTGACTGATGAAGATATGGAAATAATTGCTGCTCCTCCAATAGACACAAACGGATTGCTTGAAATAATTACACTTAGAAAATCATCTGTTATCCCTTATGTACCTTCATATGTACTTAATGACCCCAACGTAAGCCTACCAACGCGGAAAGTTTAATCTATAAACATTATTGTATATATTTAATATCAGATTTTTTACTACTGATAAAACTTTGTCAACAATTTTTGATATTTCGAAATCAGAGCCTCAAAATCAGATTATTCGATCATTATTTTAAAATAAAAATAGTATTTAGTCGAAAAATTATAAAGAAAAAACAATGCGTAAGAAAAAAAAAATTATAATAATAATAATTGAGAAGAATTACTCATTGAACAACGGATCCTTCAAAAGATCGTCAATGTTGATTCTGAAAGCCTCTCCTTGAAGACATCTCGTAATTAACTTGTATGCTGCTGTAATTGATTGATTGATTTGTGACATATCTTAAGCTTAGGTTTGAAATCGGTAGACCGAGTTTAATGTTAGATGGAGAGGTTCTAAAATAAACGTTGTGCAATGAGATTTGTCCATGAGAAATTTTCAAAGGTGAACTGTGTATTGCTTGTACTGCAGTTGCCAAGGATTTGAACCAGCGAATGATTGTCTTATCTGGTGGAGGAGCGACTAATTGCTTGATATATGCTGCAAGAGATGGAGAGTCAGTGGCCTCTGTGACAATGATGAATTTCGATGGTTGATATGATTGTGAAATGTCTAAAATGTTCATTAAATATGGGGATTGGATGCTTTTGGCCTCTGTTAATTGATCAAAAGCGCGTTGAATGTTTCTTGTGACATATTATTGTTGACACACTCATACCAAAAAGCCTGGACGCACGTTGTAGTATCTAAAGCATAATTGCATGCAATATCATGATGAGAATTTCTAATCTGGTTGAGCTTTTGATATTTTGGTTTATCACTCATCCAGTTGTCACTTTTTGTGGCAACGCTGAAATTTATTGCGCAAAACATCAGTTGAATGTATTCAAAAAAAAAAAAAAAAAAAAAAGGTAGTGGGGCTTCCAGGCACTTCGTGCCCTCTAGCCCATAAGAAATTTTTGTTTAGATTAAAATTAAAATTTTTATTCTGAAAATGTTTGCTTTAATGTTTTTTACGGATGGAAATGAACTGGATATCGTCTGAGTCTTCGCTTGTTTCCTCATCCTCTTCTTCTTCGTCCGAATTGTCTTCATCTTCACAATAACCAGATAAGAAGATGGTTATTGAGTAGGTGACAAAAGTGCATACTCTTAAACAACCGTCGGATTTCCGGGTGAAATCGTGACACACTTTCGTCTTTCGTAGGCAGTGGTGGTTGTTACAAAAGGTAACTTCGAATGTAGCGTGAAATCTGCAAAAAAAATTCTGAAATTTGAATGGATAACACAAAAATTGAATAGTTTACGTCAATAAAAAAGAGAAAAAATTAAGCCAATGTATCTCGAACCTAGGACTTAGAGCAGCAATCCCACTGTTTATCCCATTACACTACATACATCTCTCACCTCAGTCAATGAGATCAACTATATGATAACTTTTTCCCCATTAGATTCTTGTGGAAAAGTGACAAATAGCAACTTTGACCCTCTCTCGATGGTTATTTTGGTTTGTTCTGGTTTTTTGAGAAGCATTTTGGCTGTGCCAGTAAAAACGAACTCAAGATTTTGATAGAATTGTCTGCTTGAGTGAGTGAATTTGCATACTGTAAGTGGCATTGCAACTCGGTTTGCTTGAACAGATATTATTGAAACTTCTTCTCCATCTGGTATCCGTTCAGGAATATCTAAAGCGGCTGTTGTTATAATATGCATATTGTTTTCGTAATGCAATTTTGGATATATTTCGAATGGATGTGCAGCTACACCAGCTGGAGCAACAATGGAAAGATTCCAGGAGAAAGAACCGCGTTTGTTTTCATCTTCTTTCCAATTGTAAGTTAAAGGATAAGGACGAAAGTCGTTGAGTGTTTCATATAGCTGTTCTCTTAAGTTTGGTTCACAGCAAATAATGAACTCGTCAATTGCTTGAAGAGATATCATAGTTGAAACATAAGGCAAATTCGACAAGAAAAAGTCAACCATTACTGTCGGGTTTTGAACTTTGTTTTCTAATGTTTCGACTGGTTTTATTATACTTTTGAAATATCTATCATAGTCATTGTTGTCTGTTAAGGACAAATTGTTTGGATAAGCTGCAATGAGTCTTCTATATCTTGCTTCTGTTGTTGAGAATGAGAAGACACCTTCTGGTTCTGTAGGAGTGTAAGTTTTTAGTTGAACTTTGCGTATGTTTGGTGTCTGATTTGAGTCTGATTGGACTGAAACAACTTGAGCTTCTGTAGTTTGTTGTGAAGGTTGCTCTGATGTTTGTTCGACTTCTGCAGTTTCTTTTGGTTGAATTTGAGCTTCAATTTGTGTCTGATTGGAGTCTGATTGGACTGAAACCTGTGTAACCTCTTTGGACATACTAGTAAAGTATGAGGATATAAGTGTTTGACCTTTAAAGAGCTTTTGTAAAGAATTGTCAGTCATGCTACTACTGTGGTCTTGCATTAGACAAAAATGAACTGACCAGAAGTTTGTGGAAAATGAATATTGAATAAAAACGGTTTTCGTCAACGGAGACCCCCTATATTTTTTTATTTTATTGAAAAGTCTCCGTTGGAAAAAACGGTTTATCTCAAATATTGAATGAACTATAAACGTTTTTTGTTTTCTATATATACTTTTTTGTCCAACGGTAAAACTTTTTACACAACGGTTTTTGAGAGTCGTCGCCGTTGACTTTTTTGTAGAGCACTCAAAATAGTATAACTTTGTCCGGACAAGTAAGGGTCTATCGTCGCTACAGGAAAAGTTACAGGCGTTCCAAGGAAGTACTTTGAGAAGCCTTTTCCCCTTATAGAATGAGATCGGACGGTTATTTTACAAAACTGACAACACTTTGACCGAGTAGTTTTTTGTGCTGAACAAATAGTGTCATATAAACATCTGTCAAAAACCGTTTTTTACTTCACTTAAAATGCCACGTAAGCTACGTAAGAATATACGTAAGAGGAAGGGAGCATTGAAACATCCAATAGTAAAACTAACACCACAACAACAGTTGCAACAACAAATTATGAATGACCCCACTATGTTGCAACAAATGTCAAGCAACCCTATGCTTTTAAACCGAGTTATTGGTGCACAGAGTGGAGGTTTAAGAGCGGCACTTTTAGCGAAAATGGCAGGCTATGGTGGAGCTGCAGACGGAACAGCTTATAACCCTCAAAGTCAAATGAATTTGAGTTCACTCAAAAATCAAATAACAGATGTCAAAAAGTCAAACATAGACATACAGAAACAAATAAGTGAAAACGAAAAGAAACTAGAATATGACAGACACACAAAGAAACTCAATGAGTTAAACGTAGAGAAAAAGAAGAAAGAAGAACAACTGAAAGAACTAAGTACAGAGGAATATGCGAAAAAAGTGTCAGAAAAAGCAGCAGAAGTAGCAAAAATGGAACAAGATGTTATAAATTTGAAAAACCATACTACTCAATATAAAGTACTGAAAGATGAAGAAATAAAACAAAAAGCCCTGAAGACATATATGGATAGCGATGAGTATAAAAAAGAAGTTGAAGCAAATGTAAAGGCAGAAAAACTTTTACAGTTGCAAAACCAAACCGTACAGTATGAAAACTTAGCACAAGAAAGTAAAAATAACGACGCAGCCATGCAAAAGGCAATGAAAAGCGCAGAATATATAAAAGCTAATAATGACTGGTTAGATGCCCAAGCCAACGCCAAAGCAGCCCAACTTATAGGGTCAATAAGGACAAAAATACAAGCGGATGAAGACAGTTCAAATGAAGCTTTAATGAATGCTGACTTTAAGAACGCCTTCGAAGCTCTTCATAGTAAGGTGAAACTAGTGAACGACTTCTCATCTGGAAAGAAACTGAAGTCTGAAGGTTTCGACAACGAGTTAAGAGAAGTAGCACAAAATATGACGAAAATAACAGATGCAGCAACGAGACAGGCAGTTCAAAGTGCCTATGACTCCGTTAGAGCAACTGTTGTGGAAAGTCAAGAAAAAGAGTTACAACAGACCAAAACAGACCTAGTAAATGCTTTCTTAAGAACGAAAAGTCAGGTAGGACATTATGCTGCAGATGGAACATATGTGCCAGCTGGTGGAACTTATATACCACCAAACCCTCCAAGAGAAGCACCTGCACCAGGACTACCTAAAACATTTACATCGTCACATGGACACAGACACAGGCATGCACCAAAACCAACAGTTCAAAACACTGCACCACAACCAACAGTTCAAAATCCAGCACCACAACCAACAGTTCAAAACACTGCACAGCAACCAACAGTTCAAAACACTGCACAACAACCAACAGTTCAAAACCCTGCACAACAACAACCACAAACAGAGCAAGGACATAAAAGAAGTAGAGAACAAGGAAACCAAGAATTCTTAAAAATGCTTAAGGAAGACTATGGTTACCCAGATACTCTTGACTTTAGTGACAGATATAAAGAAGCTATTAGAAAGTTCAAGGAAGGAAATACTGACCCGAACCTATTTAGCTTTATGGTTCAGCACCAAATGGGATATAATTTCAAACCTGGAAAATACAAGCTCGCTAAGGGATATGATTTAATAGCATATCATCCAAATGACATGGATGAATTTACTCCGAGATATTTGGTGTCAGAGATAAATGATAATTCAACTATCTTCATGAAACGCGTAAAAAATAGAGACGGAACGAAAGAAGAAAGGGTTATGAATGCGGATGGCTTAAATAGGGAACTTGTTAAAAACGGTCTCGGAATATATGAAATGCCAGCAGATGAGGTACAAGAAACTCCACAGGAAGAAGTTCAGATACAACCAGACATGGAAGAAATAGTTCAGCAACAACAGCTAGAAGAGCCTGAAGGAAACGAACAAGTCCCTCCTTTGGAAACTAACTTCACAGAACTAGATGAAGATTTGGAACAGCCGAAAAATCTTGACCCTCAACAAGAGTATGCGGAGAATATGGAATCTTTCCAAGAGTCTAAGAAAAATTCAGCTGACATAGTAGAAGAATATCGAAAAATGTTCGCCGACATACAAAAGACTCCAACATCAGATGAAAATATTCAGCATAGAATGGAAGTACTGAAAGAAAATGTACGCAAATACAACAATCCTTTTTACTTACGACCATATAACGTTCAATCTTTTGCTGAACTCGGTGAAAATAAAAGGTTAAATTTCAACAAAACATATAGAAATGAAACATTGTTTAAAGTTCATTCAGAACCTAACCAATATGGAAACAAACCTACTTTTGTTTCTGCAGACTATGGAACTACAATGAGATGGGGTCATAAAGCTAATCCGGATAGGTGGTTCATAAACTTACAACCACAATTCCAAGAAGTTGTAGACGCAATGGAAGTGAATGGTGAACCAGATATAGCTGGTATTTTCAGCGCGGCTTTAATGCCATTGAAAGATATGAAACATGCAGATATTTTGGACCAGTATGAAATGAACATGGCTGATGGAAATATAACACCTGACGTTCTAGAACATTTATCTCAAAGAACTACACAGAACCATAGAGATGGTATATTTGGTGAAGAGTTTAGAAAGAAAGTTAGGGAGATAGAAGGAAGAGAACCTATTGTACATGACCTTGCAAACGAAAGTTTACAAAATGTCATAAAAACTTACTTTGCAGACAATGAACTGAGAAGGGATGAATATTTAAGAAAACTCAAATGGACAGTACCAAATGAAATGTTAGTATTGAAAAACATGTTCCTTGACAAAATAAAACCAACTACAGAAATAAATGACGCAAGACTGAAACATTGGGTAAAAGCTTTCCCATTCACAAAAGATATTATTGGTAACATGGAAAGAAAACCAGAATGGCTACAAAAACATATATTTGGAAACGAGCTTATTCCATATGGACAAGCTCTGTTTGAAGAGCTTGAACCGGAAACTCAGGAAAGAGTCATGCAAACAATACGCGAAGACTCAAATACAAACTATGACAAAATCTTTCTAGGATATAGGTTACCTGAGATGGGCGACCAGAGCCCAAAGGCAAAAAGGACATGGGAAATTTACAACATACTAGGTGAACATGAGGCAAAGATGCAACAACTTGAAGCAGAGGGCAAGTTACCAAAAGCGACACCAAAGAAGAAGAGAAGAGTAGAACAAAGTGAAAGTAGTGAAGAAGTAACTTCATCTAGTGAAAGTAGTGGCAATGAAGGAAAAAGAAGAGTTAAAAACTCAGTCAGGAAGAAAGTAAAGCTTGGTCCGAGTGGGTTCTATTATGACACATAAATCCAACTATTCTATATTTTTACCCATATGAAATGTACGCCGCTCAGAATATAACGCCAACAGTTTTGGATGCCATGAACGGAAATGTTTCCGAATGGTATAACGAATGCGACAATGCCATTAGAAGGTCAGAAATAGTTCCTGGAACTTACGAATATACAACTGCTGTTTCTTATGGAAACGTAGGTGAGTTTGGAGAAGGTTCTTCAACAACAGTAGATATTGCTTGCGACAGGTTTCATATTATTTCTATTGACAACTCATTCTTATACGTGGAACAAGACATTGAAATAAAACCTTCTGCCAAGTTGTCTGACAAGAAAGGTTGCAATGGAATTTTCTATGTCGGATACCAATATGCTCCAGAAGTTTTCATGGGATATAAGATATATTCTAACTCTGACTTAGTTCAAACAGTAACATGGGCAAACTATGAATGGTTCGCTTTGAGAAACTCAGTACAACCACAAGCTAGAGAACAAACAGACCAGTATGCAACTATTGAGAAAATAAGAAGACTTGACCCTAACGTTCCAGGAGTTTATGTTAACCTTTCTGGTTCAGATGGAACTGCTGCCACTAAAGTAAAACTGAAACTTAGAGTTCCTTTGTCATCTTTCCTCATCTTCAGGTTTTTAAGATACTTGCCAAACTGGGCAGGAAAAATTTCTATTGAACTTACTCCAAGCAAAAATAACTTAGTCATTGCACCAACACAAGACCCATTCACTCTTACAGATGTAAAGGGAACAAATCAAACGTCATTCGCCGAATTTTGCAAAGACAAAGTTGACTTAGACTTTGGTTTCTCAAACTTCAACAATGAAGTAAACTATTATTTCAATGCTGCTGGAACTGCTTGGGACCCAGTTAAGTTTACATGCGAAAAGTTTGAATGCAAGAGAATAGAAAGCAGACTTGCAGTCTATATGTTGGACCCAGATATTTCAAATGCTTTAGCTGCCAAATATATTGCAGTTCCACTTATGTTCCCTATACACCAAATATCTGTCAAAGACTTTGCAGGTGAAGTTGGAAACCAAAGTGCTGACCCAGGTGCAAGAACAGATATTGCTTTAACAACTGCAATGAAACATGCAGATACTATGTTTGTACTGTTCAGACGAACTATAAATGACTATTCTTGTTTCTACAACCCCGGTATTAAATATCATATAAACATAGATGGCAA